CTCTCTTCTTTTTCTCTGTGTTGTCACCTGCTTAAATGTTGAAAAAAAATGTTTTCAAAAAAGCTGCATATATTAAAGCATGCTCACATTAAGTCATTATTACTCAGCGTGTATTATACACAGGGTGTGTATGTATATTTGTGTACCTTGGAGGCTCGTTGTTGGTGAGAGAACTTGGTGTGTTTGTGTATTGTCCTCTGTGTGTCCTGTTGAGTAGGGTTGGGCTAATCAGTTAGAGTGGCATGTAGAGGGAGAGAGCACAGCCTTTTGGCCCTGATGAGGTGTGTGTGTGTGTGTGTGTGTGTGTGTGTGTCTGTGTGTGGAATGGGTAATTGTCAGGAGTCGACAGAGAGGATCCTGTAATCACTTTGCTCTAAGCAAGGAATGCTGCTCATCTTCTCATGTAATTACACCCATTTAAAGCAGCCTGGTTTCAGAGATGAGAGCAGGGGGAACGGCCTGGTTCAGCTTCAGCGTTTGGGTGCATATTTAGTGGGAGAGTCTAAGGAGGTTCATAAAGTTCAGCAACGCAAAGTTAGAGAATGAAAATTAATTTTTTAATACACGTCTCCCGCAAGTCCACAAAAAAAGCCTTGTTAGTGTTCATTATTTTGCTTGGTCATAACTCGTATTGTGAGGAAGAGAGGAGGAGGAGGGGAGGGGGGAGGGGAAGAGAAACGATGCACTCCATGGTGACTTGAGTATGGACCAAAGGCCTCTGGGGAGATCAGTTCCATGTGGCACACAGAGCGTCATGACAACCAGACACACACACACACACACACACACACACGGAGAGCAGCTCTATGACATTAGCATCACTGCTGTGCAGAGTGCACACAGGCGGGATTTGAGCGTTGTTTCCCGCCTGTGTCCCCAACAGACCCCGGATTATTCATTTCAAGTTTCTGTCTGGTCATATATTGTGGTCACAACAAACGTGGAGCCTGTCTTACTTGCCTTGTCTGTCGAGCGTAAAGGAAAAGTCCACTGAACGACTTGCATATTAATATTCTTAATTAACCTGTGCTCCTCAGTGATTTATTTCGCAATGAAATTCTTTAGTTAGAAATTTTTAAACATCAACATTTTGGTCTGTTGTCACTTTGGTTAACATCATTGCCCACAGTACCATTAAACTATCTGCTAATTGTGATGCCAATAAGATTTATCCCTTGCGTCAAGTCTGCCTAAATCGACTGATGCAGCAGAGCTTTATAGCTTTAGTCTGTCCAGCTCTCTCATCTCCTCATGTGTACGCTCTGCTCAAACACATCAGATTATATATCTTGAATACCCAGTCCCTTCAGGATTCTGCTATTTGGCGATAGCAGAAATGAACGCAAAATCTCTGCAATCTTCGGAGGAGCTTTTTCAAAGTTTTTAAAACTTACTGCAGATTATCCACAGATTTTGGCACGTCATGTGACCTCATCACAACGCACATTCAGCCAAAGCCCTCTTCGATTCACGTGCATCGAACATGAGTACAGTTAAAAGGTCTCATTTACCAACAAACATTACTGTGAAAGACAAATTGTACCAAACAATTTCATGCAATTTTTCTATCGAGTTTTTAAAAAAAAAAAAAAAAACACAGCAAAGAAAAAAAACTGTGAAATCCCGTACAGACTGTACGGCAAAAAATACAGCACAATCCAATAGATTAGCCACTGAATAAACGTATTCAATGTGTTTCAGGGTTAGGTTTTCCTTTAAGGCTCTAAACTCAGTGTGGCATATTAAATCAGTGCCTGATGCTAATAATGCTGAGAATTCTATTCATAGTCATTATAATCTCTCTCTACATCTCTCTCTCTTTCTCTCTCTCTCTCTCTCTTTCTCTCTCTCTGTCTGTGTATGAGTGTGATTGATGGCATTAGGGACTGCGAGCTGTGTTCCCAGGCCGTAGGTGGTGTGTGGTGTAGAGGGAAGAGTGGAGACGGTGGAGGGACGGCAGTGTGGTTCTGGGCAGTTATTGATGGGGCTGATAAATGAGCTCAGTGGGGGGTGGCGCCCTCTAGCAGTACTCCAACACATAGTCAGCTGCACAGGGACACCGCAGCCCCAACTTTCTCATCCGCTTACCAAGCACACACACCCGCACACACACACACCCGCACACACACACACACACACACACACACACACACACACACACACACACACAAAAAATAAAAAATGGTTTTTTTTATTTTATTTTTTTTGTTTTTTTTTTTTTTTTTTTAATTAGTCATGTGTTACTTGCACAGGGTATACACCAGCATACACAAAAACACACAAATGCACACATTGTTGAGCTTCATTCTTCTGCTCACACCCACCTGCCTAGTAGCAGCTGCAAAGTCCCTATCTGCGTCTGAAATGGCGTACTGTGACAGTACCTACTGCACGGCCATTGAAACAGTACGTACTAATCAGTATGTCTGTGTATTATGACTGCAATTCCAGACATACTACATACACCATGTTAGCATTGTCATGTGACTTTCAACTTCATCATAAACACAAAAATGTTAAAAGGACCACAAGATTAATGCAACTGCACTAACGGCAAAACTCACATCAGTAAAGTGAACTGAATTAGTAATGTGATGTGGGCAGGGTTAACAGGCTGAGGTAAACTCGTTGCCTTTATCTTGGCCGGTTAAGGCGTGATGTAGATCATAAAAAAGGTTACAAATGCTGTGACAACTGTTTTCTTGTTTAAACCTTCAACAATATTAAAAATGTATTCGGGTATTGCTAATCAAGTCCTGTTTAACCAACCTTTAATACTTAAAAAGAGCCGGCGCTGTCTTCCGCAATGAGTCCATCAGTTGCACGCTATAAAATCTCACCGGAAGCAGCACGCCATCCGGGTAGTAGGGTAGTAAGCAATTTCGGACGCAGCCCCTGTATTTCTGCCATTTCTCTTTCCATTCACTGATGTCTACTTTGCCTCAACCAGCACCTCACACTTCATGTTTTTGTTTTATAAAAAAATAAAATGCCATTCGTATTTTGCCATAAGATTTGTGCAACAGTAGGGGAAATGTTGGGTCGTGAGCAAAGAAAAAACAGTTACTTTTTTAATGTATTATTTTAAATCATATTAACTTTCACATACAGGCAGTAAAGATTTCACATCACTAATATGTAGCTGGATTTGACATTTTCATGCAAGCCAGAATCCAAGTCTTCAGCTTTAGAAACTATAGAGTGTATCGTATGATAGATAGGACACATACAGACAAAGAGTCCAGGTTGGACGTATTACTTAGACATTATCTCACTTTTGGACATCTAAGTCGATCATTTTCTTTATACCACAGCATTGTTTCATTCTCAGATCTACGCAGAAGGCGTTTGTTAAGTTTCAGTTGGCTCTGTTTCAGTATTTCTGGCTGCAAGACAAATCGCAAGGTTTGCTTTGTCTTTTGTAAGGAATAAAGCAGTATTTAACTGTTTACATAATTAATTAGAAATAATTCAAATATGGGGGCATGTTGGCTTAGTGTTTAGCACGTTCACCTCGGGGTTCAAATCCTGCCTCTATCCTGTGTGCGTGGTTCATGCTTCAGGGGTTTCCTCCGGGTACTCTGGTTTCCTCCCCTGGTCCAAAGATATGTGTTGTAGGCTGATTGGCATCTCTAAATTGTCCATAGTGTATGAAGGTGTGTGCAAGTGAGTGTGCAAGTGACAGCAGTGCACTAGGGTACAAGGAAGGAATGCATCAAGACTCTTCTCTGTTCTGGCACCTGGGTGGTGGAAGGAACTTCCCCTAGAGTCACTGGCGGCCTTCAAACGAACTCTACACACCTACCTCTTCCTAAAATACTTAAATTAGCACTTTTAATAATAAAAAAAGAGAAATTGTGTTGTCTGAGTGTTTTTCTTACTATATTACCTCCTAAACAGAGTTTTTATACTGATGATATTTTAGTCCGTGACCTAGTGAACCTGTATCAGGATGTATTTATTGATAGACTTCAGAGTACTTCTGTAAGTCTCTTTGGATAAGGGCAGTTGTGCCCTGTGATGGGTTAGCATCCCGTCCAGGGTCTCCCCCCCTTGTGCCCCGAGTTCCCTGGGATAGGCTCCAGGCTCACTGTTACCCTGTGTAGGATAAGTGGTATGGCAACTGGATGGACAATTAAAAAGTGTATGTGAAAGTAAAACCGAAAATATATACATTTATCCATATTTTTCCTTTTCCCTACTTCATAAAGAAAGAGTTATGAAGCTAAAAATGTTCGGGATTCAGAATATTAAAGTAGGTGATTTGTATGTGGACTTTTCAATTTGAATACCAAAAGGATATCAGATAATATTATCATAGGACAATATTGAAATAGTAAAATACTGTCTGAGAGCATTAGTGTGCACATCCCTGAATCTGTACTTTGAATAGTCATCACTGCTAAGTGTCTTTTTAAGAGTGGGAGTTTTATAGGAGTTCTAGGAGATAGACTATACTGTACATCTATCAGTCTGGCATTGGGTCAGAGTGTGTTCCCCTGTGCTGCTCATAATGAAGGTTAGAGTGTGCACACACACACACACACACACACACACACACACACACACACAAACAAATCAACACATATTGATTAAACCTTTATGTTTCCTGTTGAAATGATGAAGATATTCATCTTCTGGAAGACTGCTGTCTTTGACTTTTCTACACTAGGAGTAAACAGGTCCAAGTATTTACAGTGTGGTTCTAGCAATTCATCACACACATGGTTAACGGTTGAAATGCAGCCAACAGCCACGTTTCCAATTAACTGGAACAATTAATCCCAGGAACTTTTTTCAAGGGTCCATTTGGTTCCTCCATATCTTTGTTATCTGTGTTTCCATCACAGTCTAAAGAACCATTAAGATTAGTAAGCTGATTTTTAAAACGTTTTGCTCGGTTTATAAGAACTCGTAGCAGTCTCTCAGGTTGAACACAAACCTTTGAACAGTAACAAAAGCCCATGGCAAAGAAATAAAGTTTAGAGTATGCTGCAGCTAAGTTGGTGGTCTAGCGGTTATGATTTGGCACACTCACTGCTGCAGCTGGGGTTTGATTCCCTGTCAGGGAATGAATTTATTTGTATTTTAATCTTTGGATAAAGGTCGGTGTTTCAAAAAGGGACAGTCTATTTTCTGAAATCTGATAACGACACTGCAGCAACAACACGCATGGAGGAGATTCAAGCTGTGCTGCTGTTGATTGTGATGTATTGCTTTGCTAAAAAGGTAAATGAGAAAACGGCGGGAAAGAGACGAGTAAAACGAATTCAGAATGCTCGTAACGCTAGACTTAAAGAAAGCAAACGGATTTTATCAGCTATTGCTGAGACTAACGCACGCACAAGTTTCTCTCTGCACTGTTTTCCTGTGTGAACAACGCCCAACTCGCTTAACCCACTTGAAATTTTTAAGTATACGTTTTCATTGCAGGTCGCTGCTTCCAGTTCCCGTTGTATTTCGTCCTTGGCATAAATACTTAATAAGGCCTGAACCTCGTCGTCGGTCCATCTGTCGTATTTTTTAAGAAACTCACCCCCCGCCCCATCCAAAGTCTCTTAACTTTGAAAAGGTACCACCTCCCAGGTAGGGACTTCCCGAGGTGGAAATATCTTACCCTGGAACTTCGTTTAGACCCTGGTCCCTGAGTACCTCCAAAATTCCCTAGTTCGTGGGGAAAGTTCCTGCAGTGGAAACACAGCTAATAAAGGTGTCTCAGTAAAGTGTGACATCTCAGACACCTATGTTTGTATCACTACTACAAGTACTGTGTGTTTCTCTTTTACTAACTCTCCTGCTCCATGCTTCTCTGCACCTGTCATTCCCAGAGTAGGGTGCGTGGCCTCTGTACCCAGTGCAGAAATCTAATAGACACTTTTTATTCAGAGGATGTACACGCTTCATCTAATATCTTTTGTTTTTCCACATTTGTGCACGCGCGTGAACAGAACCAGAGGGAGAAAACACGTCCCAGCTTTCAGAAGTACAGCATTATGCGCGATTTGCATAGATATTTACGAGTGAAGCAACTCGAGAGCTGACTCGTTTGCGTCAGTAAATGAGTCAGTTGTGCTTGCAGTTATATGATCTTCTTACTAAAATATTATTCTTTTTTTGCAGCAGATTATTGCCTGTTTTGATGTCTGAGCTTCTTTATAATAAACGAGACCCCAGTCAGTTATTATAGACCATTATTATTGTAACCAATGTAGCGTAAAAACAATGCAAAAACATGTCACGTAACACATAAGTGTGTTGTGTTGATTTATCTGCTAGACTTGTTCAATCTTGGTTGAAATCTTGTTTTCTTAGAGGGAAGATTTACTGCACATCAATGCAAAGTTATTCTGATTGAGAAACTTTATGAAACATTTCTATCCTGATGGTAGTGGTTTCTTCCAGGACTGCAGTGTCCCCATTAACAGGGCATGAGCATTCACTGCGGTTTGATGAGAGTGAAAATGATGTAAATAATACTTCACAGTAACCAGATCTCAACCCAATTTAACAGTTGTGGGAGATTTTGCTAATCGTACAATAATAGCTAAAATGATCGATCACAATTATGAGGCTTAATAGGAACATAATTTATCATGACTTTTAGGAGTAAGTTAGAGTTATTGTAATTTATAATTCCATATTCTTGATCAATAAACATTGTAAGATTATATCCCAACTCCTATATGCAATGTTGCATCACAGTTTCTTAGTCATGTTGATCACATCGGAAGAAAACTATATTTTACAGCGGATTTACACATGCGTCCAAATAAGCAGCTAAAACATATGAATGTGGAGCTCATGATCGAATGCACCGCGGTGTATAAGAACTGACATCTAATGTTACCAAATAAGATAAAGCTCTCAGTGATCATGTTTATCTAATTGAGAAAAGCTAACATTAAAATTAAAATACAACTGTTTTCATACTACAGAAGTATATCATATCTTATACCAGAGTGTTCTGGTAAATCTGATTGGTCAGAAGGTGTTGATTAATTTCCCATAACAGCATGGCTCTGACAGCAGCACTGGCTGTAATTCAGTTTTATATGAATGTGCTAGTTCAGATACCTTATAATTTGTATAAGTGTGTATATTAATTTGAATACAGGTGTAACCCCCAACCCCCACCCCCCAACTAAACCCCCGCTTATGAATTTGTGTGCATTTCACTTTGAAAATTATTTCAATGGAGAGTTCATTATTATTCTTAATGAAAAACACAACTAGAAAACAGTACAATGAAAAACTCGTTTATATTAAACATAGACCTTTTTAAACAATCTTCTGCCATCGTGTTGTCAGTCAGCTCGCCTTGTGCTAAATGAAATCTGACTCCTGCTGATCTGTGCTACAATTCCGACTCATTTGGTTTGTGCATCTGTTCTCTAACTGAACTAAATTATTTTTATTACTATAAAAAATCAAAAATGTTGGTGGGGCGGTGCTGCGTTGGGCAAGTGATGTAATCGGTGTGCGCCCCGAACACCGTGTAACACCGGGAACACAGACTATCGCAGCAAACCTAGTTCACAGGTGTTTGGCATTGAGTTAAGTTTGGCACCTTTGCGTAGTGAGAACCTTAGTTTATGCAAATCCCAAACAACACTTTGAAGCTCACATTCATTTCTGAATGTATAATTCTTTCAGTGCTAAGCTGAGACACACACACACACACACACATCTTACATGCACTGGAGTGTTTGAGGACCTGTCTGGTCAGATAAGTGTGGAGTTCACTGTCAAGTTTCAGGGTGTGACTCCAGCAACCCTGAATGTTAAAACATATGTCATAATCAAAAAAGGATGTGTGTGTGTGTGTTTGCATACTTCTATATTTATGTTTACAGCCCAACAAGAATGTCCCCAGTGACTGGTGTGTCTGCGGTGTGTGTATATGTGATGTGTGCTTGAAGATGTTTGTGTATTGTGACTTGAGGCTTGCCTGTCAATAAAACATGCTGAAAAACCCAGGAAACACACATACACAGAAAATGCCATGCCTCTGATTTAAAATCACATGTTAGCAAGCTATTTCTATCCTCTGTGTGTGTGTGTGTGTGTGTGTGTGTGTGTGACACTGGAAGAGAGAGAAGTTTGAAGTGATAATAAGCCTTATCATTGCACTACTCCATTCTGTAAGGCTCTGTGTGAAGGAGAGTCAACGGGGGATTGACGGTGATAAAGAGGGAGGGGACAACGTGAGATGGGGGGGGGGGACAAAGCACTGTGGGAAAATTGGAAGTCTATTACAATGCACACTATTTAAACGTAGGCACTATATGTATTTTTAAAATCATTTGTGAAGAGACCGAGTGCAGGAGTGTTATAGAGTGTGTGTGTGTGTGTGTGTGTGTGTGTGTGTGTAGGTGTATTCTGAACCTGCATTACAGCCGTATATACTCTTAACCTCTCGGTCTTCTTTACATTTCCTATCCCTAAGGCTTTTTTTAATCCAGCAACCAAATGGAAGTGCAAAATGATTACACAATGTTTCCACAAACGTTTTATAAATAACCTTTTGCAACTTTCCTGAGCGAGAATATGTCCACGATTAAACCTGTGTGACAGATACAACAGAGCAACACGGTAACTCAGACAAGGCTGACTCTGAGTTGGTGTTGGTTGTGTGAATATGATGCTGACATTAATGTAGCTTTTTCAAGCAGCTGGTTGAATTTCACTCTTCATGCCTTTACACCACTTGCCTGTGCAAAGGGTTTTGACTCACCAGCTCTGACATTAAGCTGCATTTAATTAATTGCTTGTTAATTAAACACAGATTTTAATAATTTCAGGTAAAGGAGTTTTGTCACCTTGTGACTCTCTCACACACACACACACACACACACACAAACAAACACACTATCCTTGAGAGGATTCCATTGACATCATTATTAATGCAGCTACTGTAATTCAAGTTATACCTAAACCTCAATCTAACCCTAACTGTAACCTCAAGATATATATATATATATATATATATATATATATATATATATATATATAAAAAATTTTTTTTTTTTTTTTTTTTTTACACACCACTTCACTTTTAAAATCTACACTCACTGAGCACCTTAGGAACACCTGTACACCTACACATTCATGCACTTATGTAATCAGCCAATCATGTGGCAGCAGTGCTATGCATAAAATCATACAGATCCGGGATAGCAGCTTCACATTAACCATCAGAATGGGGGCAAAAATATGACCTCATTGATTTTGACCATAACACTATTGTTAGTATCAGATGGGTTTGTGTGAGTATTTCTATAAATGCTGATATCCTGGGATTTTCACATACAACAGTCTCTAGAGTTGCTCAGAATGGTTTAATAAAGAAAAACATCCAGTGTGTGGCAGTTCTGCGGATGGACACACCTTGTTGATGAGAGAGATCGACAGAGAATGGCCAGACTGCTTCAAGCCGCAGTAAGTCAGATAACCACTCTGTACAATTGTCTCAGAATGCACAACAGGAGAAGACCACATCGGGTTACACTTCTGTCAGTCGAGAACAAAAAGCAGAGGCTGCAGTGGGAACAGGCTCGCCAAAGCTGGACAGTTGAAGACTGGAAAAACGTGACCTGCTCTGATGAATCTCAATTTCTGCTGAGGCACAGAGATGGTAGGGTCAGAATTTGGTGTCAGCAGCATGAATCTATGGACTAGACCTGTCTTGTGTCAACAGTCCAGGCTGGTGGAGGTGGTGTAATGGTGTGAGGAATGTATTCCTGGTACACTTTGGGCCTCTTAATATTAATAAATCATCGCTTGAATGCCACAGCCTATTTGAGCATTGTTGTTGTCCATGTCCATCCCTTCATGGCCACAATTTACCATCTTCTAATGACTACTTCCAGCATGATAATGCACCATGTCACAAAGCAAAAGCAGTCTCAAACTGCATTCATGAACATGTCAACGAGTTCAGTGTTCAGTCACCAGATCTGAATCCAATAAAACACCTTTGCGATGTGCTAGAACCGGAGATTTGCAGCATGAAAGTGCACCTGAAAAATCTGCAGGAATTATGTAAATTCGTGTCAACATGGACCAGAATCTC